GGAATCGTAACATGGCTGAAGAGAAACAAAACAGCGGTAGGTAGATACGAGTATATCCGAGAGATCGGAATAAACATTCTGAGTGGTGCGGGATGCGGGATTGAAAAAGCCTAAGTTGAACCCTCTGCAAAGATAGAACGCGAGAAGTCCGAGAATTCCTTTTTTAAAATCGGCAAGCCTAGATCCTCACAATCAGAGTGCCAACGCGTGCTCTTGATTGATTAGCGAAAAGATATCCAGCCAAAAAGCTAGAGTTATGAAGTGAAACTCTAGCTTGAATCTTACTTACTTACTTGAATGCTCGCTTACTCGAGTAGCCCAACCCTAGCGTTACTTTCAACGGTCTTCTCGAGTTGCACACTCCTGAAAGGGCGTCTTATATCTGTAGGGAAATGCTATATAAACAATTGTGGTGGAACAAGACCGGTCTGGAGAGCGCCTAACGTAAACTTACCATAAGGTTTTCATTTGCAGCTGGTCTTCTACTTGGTGATGTGCATTCTGTGGTTTATTGTCTGCATTATCCAAGTAATTATTGCCTTTATCGCATGGGCGATCTGGCACATTATCAGGAAGGTGGTGGAGACGAACTGCGATCAAATTGGGGATACTTGTGTATGTCATGACACAGATAATACCCCTATTACAGGTAAGAAAGCGGGATGTTCGTGTAGTTTAGGAATTCGAGTGGGGATGAATTAAGGGTAAGAGAGTTATAACCCGGGGAGCAGAACTCTCACATGAAAGGGACAGGAGTGCTCGTCGGAAATTTTGAAAAAGCCCTCTAAGAGGTACCAAGATCCTGCTTGTGGGCGTGGCTTGAAATTTTTTTTTTTTCACCCAAAGAGGTACCAATTCTAAAACATCACATTACCCTTAAAGGTACCGCAACACCTCCTGCTGTGGATCTTTTGAGGTTGAACATCCCCAGAGGTACCAAAACCGCTTTTTAGCCCCTAAAAGGTACGACGAGCACATTCGTCCTTTCTATATGGAGTCCCCCGGGGGTAAAAAGTCATGGTTTGCATTACCCTCTAAGTGAGGGGAACCAGGAGTGGAATTCCTAGAAGGCTATTGTGGGATGGCTGCAGTCTCTAGTTCAATCACCACTACGGAGAAATAGGTGAAACAAACGCCATGCCATTCACAAGAAACTCCGTAAGTAAACATTCGGTAATCATGCCACTGTTTTGAATTGAAACCAGAGGAATCAATTTGTATACAGTCGAAGGCCACTTATTAAACAGTCACCCCTTATTAGGCATTCAGTAATCAAGGTCCCGATAAGGGCTTCTCTATTGTTTTTACCTCTATTAAGCGACCAGCCCCCTTTAAGTGGCCCCTATCCATTTCCCCGAGGGTGACCGTTTAATAGGGGTACTAGCTTGGGGTGCAGTGTGTTACTTATTCCATAATAACAGTAGTTCTAATCTTCTAACACGCCTCTTGATCATATCATTATGGCGAAAATCCTGGGTTTTTTTTTTCCTTTAATTTTCCGTGTGATTTAATTTCTGGGTATATTTTACTCGCTATTACTACTACATTTTCCACACTGAAAACTCATGAGGGAGTTATAAGCCATAGCTAACGTTTCCTTATTCATTATTTTATCCGTTCACAGTGCACAACTGCGATGACATCAGGACGATTGAGAGCATTTTCTTGTGCATTCTGATCATGAGCGCCTTCGCCGCCATTTTGACGCTCTCTGGCTCCATCATTGGCTGTATGGGGACTTGCTGCGCTCGACCAGCTGTAAGTCACGCAATTCTACTGTGACTGTGTCACGTTACTGCTCGAGATTCTATTATCGACTCGCGCTTGCATATACCTCATGATTGCAAACTATGAGAGGTCACGAAAGCCCAGTAACAACCACCTTGATCAACCTGATTATACCCTGGTGACTGTCATCCATAAACAGTGTTTCAAAATATAACCGATTAATAATTATTTTAAAACAGACTTTTGACTTCCCGGTATAATCATAGAGACGAGCATTACATTAAACAATAACTTGAAATAAATCTGATTTATTACTGGTCGACAAGATTATGCAACTCACAGAAACAGACGCCATTCATCTCACCTTCACAGATGCAACTACGCCAAAATTCCTATTGCTGGTTTTCAGTGTCACGCAATTCAAAATAGATCAAAATAAAAATCAAAACCGTCAATAGGTTAAGTCCAGAATCTGGGAAACGAAAGGAGGTAAATATGCAAAGACTCTCGCCAAAATTCTGGTCACAGCAATTTTTCTTATGTGAGATATGCGGAGAAATTTTT